TTTTTTTGTTTTATTCGTGAAGGTTTGGGCTATTTTAAAATATTTTTGTTAACTTTGTCAATTTGTTATAAAATGTTGAAAATTTTAAACAAATTCTCTTTTTGCGTTTTTCTCAATAAGGGGCGTAAAGGGTTAAAATTAAAAAAAAATATGGTCATATTCTTTGAAGCTTCCCCTTTAAAATGAGCCCTTCAGAACGATGGAGCCTCGAAAATTGACGTCTCTACAAGCTGGAAACGGACGCGGGGTACCCCCATTTCACATAGGCGAGTCGCGCGTTCAGCTATTATGATCGGTTGTTTTATATCACTGGCCTCAAAACTATACAAGAAGACTTCGTACGCGATTAAATGACTCTGTTGGTACCTTGAAAAGTGTATTAGTAACCACTCTTGGTCAATGACACATTTTTTAGTCGTAATTTGATTTATAGATATTAGTTCCTACATTTATTATTTATGTTCTACAAAAAGGCATTAATACTCGATGGAAACCGCAAAATAAGATTGTTTTCTTCAATCGGGATGGGATAAGAGGAATTATGATCAAAAGTATCGTGTGGGGTAGTCTTAGGAATTGTAGCAAGAAAATATGATGACAACTATTTTATTACAATAAACACTGGGCTATCATTATCAGTTATTTACATTTTTGTTCACACGCGCGCCTTATTATCATATGCGACAACAGTTGATTCGGACGTTTTTCAAATATATCGTCGCTACCCTTGGCAAAAGGTCTTGTTTTGTAGGTAAAATTTCAAGATTCATATCCGTATATACAATATTACATATTAGATATTTAAACTTTATTCAAAAATTTAAAAAATAAAAATTTAGTTGCAATTTCTGATATTAAAAAATTCATTTGCTAATGAAAAAAAATATTATTGTGATAGTTCAAACATTCAAGATTAAAATGAAAAAAGATTTAACTAATTTCGATAAATAGTTTCTGAGATAAAAATTCATATGTACAAGTTAACTAACTGTATTAATTAATTAACAAATCAAAATTCGATTTTCGACACGAAAAATTAATTTGTAACATTAATACATTCATCTTATCAAAAAACATTTGAATAATTCATCTCAAAATCGAAGATATTAGTTTTGTCCACGTTTTCGCCGTTTTTCACCATTATGCGTCGGTCGCGTATTTTTGAAATCCAATTCAGTATTAGCTTTCCGCCATACTTTTTTACTTCCGTCCGACTCAAAAATATTAAATTTTAACTCGTCGGAAAATACTACGTTTTTCCAGAAGTCGTCACTAGCAATTATGTATTGTTCTGAAAATTCTAATCTCTGTTTTCTGTTTACTTTTCTTATGAGTGGTTTCTTCCTTGCAACTGTACTGTTATATCCGGCCCGACGCAGTACTCTTCATACTGTTTTAGGGTGAATTTCGTTCAGCATATATTCTTTAAGGTGTGATGCAATTTTAGATGCACTGATATCTAATTTTTCTATAATAGTTCATTTTTAGGGTCTATCGGTTTTTTCTTTATTCCGCAATATTCCTTCTTTTTATACCTGTTTATAATGCTTTGTACAGTTAATCGACTTTTTTTTAATATTTCTGATATACACTGCTCAAAATAAATATGGTATAGACAAATTTTAGGCAGAAATTGGCTAAATTTGACTGATGATAACACAAAAAAATGGCTCTTTTCAGAGCTTTGAGGTTTCTACTTTAAGACCCTGTAGTTCGATTTTAGACACCACAAGTCTATGATGTGCAAAATCCGTCCAGCAACCTCTTCGAGGTGCACATCGGGTAATGCTAATGCTGGCGGTATATGCCATAAAAGCAAGGGTTTCTTTAAATTGCTGTATCTTTGCGAAAAAAAATGATAGCGGTTTTACTCATACTGGAAATTAAAGATAAAGGTTTGTATTTTATGCTCCTGTTAACAATATCACCAAAAAAAAAATGTGACAAGTCCATACATTTCGTCAAACTTTGTAATTTTCAATATAGCAAACATGACCTTACATTTACGGTGTTATTGTGGTAGGGATGCGTAAAATCTAAAATTGAACTACAGTATCTTAAAGTGGAGATCTTAAGCTTTAATTTAAAAAAAAAAACATAATTTTACGATAATTTTTTACGAAGTTATCATCAGTCAAATTTAGCCAATTTCTGCCTACAATTTTTCTATGCCATATTTCTTTTGAGCAGTGTATTTCTATATAACTTATCTTCTTCATGTAATCGTATAACAGTTTTTCTTTCTTCTAATGTTTCGAATGTTCTTTCTTCCCATATTGCAAATGTTCCGAACGTGCGACAGAAGACAATACGCGAGGATTTCGTCAGTAGTTTATGATGGGTCCCGGAGTAACAGTTATTTTCGAAAGACAGATTTTGGCCATCGCCGACAAATTAGTTTTACATATTTTCAAACAATGCCTTTAGAATTTCTAACTTTCATTTCGTCTTCAGTAACTACATCATAAACTTGATTTTTCCCAAAAGGTCACCGAAGGCGGGCCTCTTTCAGGGCAACGTGCGTATCATCTGGAGGGAAAAATTCCGGCGTTGTCGACCTTCGAGATTCTCTCGTACTCATCGGTATTTTTACCACTCTCTTCCAAAAAGGGCGCGCTCAGGGCGCAAGAGATGGTGGCCCCAATGTCAAGGGACATGTTGATTGGAAAATCAACGTTTCCAGTGACAACCAATCGGCATGCCTCCTTAAACTTCCAACGTTTCGGGGAAGTCATTACTAGACATAGCGTCAACGTATCGGACGCCTTTTATAACGTTTTCGATTGCATTTGTTTCCGGATGCATATAGACGGTCGTGTCAACGTTCAGACACGATCTATCTTAAATTATTATTCTTAAGATTAATTTCTTTCAAATAAACCCGTGTCTCTATTTGAATTCACCGCCGATTAGAAGGCCATTTTTTAATCGAAGACGCAGTTGCTGAACGCGCGCGAGTCAGCGCAGCAAATATTAGTGTTAAAGTGTACTTGTCACGATTACTACTGACTACACTAACACAACATCATCTAATGTAATGGTTACATTGATCAAAATGTCCCGATGCCATCGCAACTGTTATATTTGTCAACATAAATGATAATGTACGAATACTTTTGTCGCGGCGATTTCTTACGGTCTTGTGAACTTCAAGTCATTTCAAGTTACTACATGATGTTATTGCCTTCGGTTTTGGGATATTTTTTGCTGTAAGTGTAATGTTTAATATGCAGCTATGTATCATTAAATACATTAATAATATAGAAAATATTGTTCTTTTTATTTCTATATTTCAAGTGTACGAATGCTTTTATCCTCCACTGTACATCATGCAGATGGTTTATCGTCTTTTTAAATTGGTATTTGTAGTGGGATTATGGAAGCATAGTGCTATTTAAATAAAACGCAGTTGTTAAATTTTAACTTTGAAAATGAAACAGTGAACTCTTTATATATTCTTTCATGAGATGCGTTCTTAAGACGTGCGCTTTTCAGACTGATCCTCGGACCGTTTTTCCTCGTGTTCGAGAGGTCCCGCGCTTCATTGATACTTTTGTATATCTCAGCATGCTTACATTAGAAGGACCGTCTTGGACAACGCAGTTCGTCGAGTTCTTAATTAGACAGGATGTTTATTCCTTGTCTTTAAATAAATTATGAAAGAAATAACGTGGGATTGATTTTTGTATATTCCAACAATTTTTATAAAAGCCTTATATAGCTACCAAATAAGGTTATTGCTTTAATTAAATAATTGTAAATTATCAATATAGTATAAAGAAAATATATTAAATATTTATTAGCAAATGAAAGGTGTAATCAGAATTTAATCATACAGGCATATTAGGAATAATACACATAACATATCAGTTAGCCCATGTCGTGATCCCGGAGGCGTTTATTTTTCAACTCGCTTAAATTTGTTGCTTCATAAAGTTGAGCTTTCCTCATGGGATCGTCTGGAATCCCGTCGACGATGTACTGAATTAACGCTTCAGCCTCGATGTAACCTCTCGCGGCGATTTCTTTCATTACCAGAAAATATTCGTGGACGGATTCGTCCCGACGCACAGTGGGGTATTTGCACCGAAAAGCCGGACAAAAGTCGATTTTAAAAATTTTGCATAAACTGTAATATTATTTCTCCTTAAGGTAGTTGAATGACTGAGGAACAATGTTCTGAGGTTCATTTTTTCATATATGTAATCATAAAATAGTATGCTTTCTCGAAAGTTGAGATTATGTAGCACGCGTTTCTTATGTAAGCACTCTCTGAAGCATCATTCGGTTATTAGTAATTTTTACACATTTTAAGGGAACAATGCAAAGCATTTTGCTATGATGGATTTTCAAGTAGGTATATAATACTATACTCTGAAACAGTATTTATTTCGATATTGTGTATATTTCTACATTTAATTAATATTTATAAATAATCAATAATTCAGCAATTGTCGTGATCCCGGAGGCAAAAGAAATATTCGAAGTCAATATAGATTTTTATAAAAACAAAACTTTATTAGACTTTTGACTTTTTGATGTTGACTGGATGAGGGATAAGATAATTCTAGTTCTAGAGTCAGGGTGCGAGTTCGACGAAGGAAAAAATTAAGGTGGGGCCTAAGGACTGAGAGGGGATGTTAAGGTTTAGGCTGGTCAGTGAGAGGGTGGCGGAAGTGCTCGAGGAGAAAGTTTGGGACTTAGGAAGGCGGTGATTTATGTTTTGAAGGACTTGAGGACTGTGGGCTTGCCTGTTTTGGGGTTATAGGAACGGAAAATGTTTGGGAAAGGACACAGATGTTTTATTTTTAGGCGCAGAAAATACGTTAAAATTTACAGGCGGTAAGAGTATCTCACACCCATTATCCAATTAATTTTATAAAACAATAATAATTTGTTACGAAAAAGAAAATTTATCTTAATCGAATTACTATGTATAATATTTTTCATAGGTAACGTTTAAACCTCTTGTTTCATTCATTTATTCAGTTACGTTTGCGTATTTTTAACAAAGTATGATCTATTAGCCCCATAGTGTCAACTTGATTGCTATAATTAGTAGGTCTGTTGGGATTTTCTGTCGCTTTTATTCATCCGTGTTTAATTGCACGCAATAAACGAGAATGCTTAAAATTGTTATGAGATTTTCCTCTGATCTCAATGCAATTTGGTTTAGATAATACTGTGATTTCAAAATAGATATTATGCCCTATGATGAAATTTTGTATAATTTTATCAACTTAGAATTGAAAAGAATTTTATTTTAAATTTATTAAGCAAGCGAACGAATAAAGGCCGGTAATTCGAATTTTGTGATAATTCATCTTTGTAAAATAAAATAATTAAATTTGATATTATTTAATAAATTAAATAATTTAATTTTTCAATGAGAAATTATATTATCAATAGAATATCGTCACAGACTCAATTCAAATTTAAGTTAATTTTAATAATCTAGAGAAAAATAGCGAAGTTGGAACAGGAACGAACAAGAATTGTTTGAAAATACATTTTCCTAAAATGTATCTGTACAAAATAATTCCCTGAAATATACCATTTTGGACATCACTAAATACATATGTATACCTACAATGGTAATACATCTAACTGTAAAGGGTCTAGCCGGATAAAATAGTCAAATGTGCTCTTGAGTCAAATGAAAAACCCAATACGTCAGTCGGTAGTAATAACCAAAAAAAAAACATCTCACACCAAGTTTCAACCACCTATCTCATCTATGGAGGTAGTAAAAGGAAAAAAAATCCGGTTTTTGGTTTATTGTGCCTATTTGATTTTGTACAAAAATTCTGAAAAAATTCTGAATTGGCAACGCATTGGCAAGTTATAACAAACAAGAATCGACTCCCATCTACAATTTCCTTAAAATTTATCACCGTGAAATAAATCGTTGAAATATAATGGTTGACATGCAGAGAGAGATTTCTCGTGAAACGGTTCGAAAACGCTACAACCGAAAGTAATTTAAGTAAAATTAGATGACAGTGTTAATTCGCGGCGTGTCATAAAACGGTCCGAATTTAAAATCTCTTCCCTAGCGTGCTACACCGTGTGTATATGACAGTGGAGATACAAATTTTCATAATGAAATCATTATGAACAAGCCAGAAACGAGTGAAATGAGGTGACACGTGAACGAAGATATATTGTCACTGTTTTGACAATTAATTTTCATGAATTTTTGCACGTTGTATCGTGAAAAAGGAAAAAGAATTAAACTCTGCAATTATCATTTAATTTCATAACATATAACTTAGTAATATGATAATAATAAAGATTGTAGATTATGAGTGAACTGTTGAATTAAATTTTAAATGTTTGATGAAAGTTTAAAAAATTATGTTCCTAATATTTTAGAAAATATTTTGAAAAAACTTCCTGTAAAAGATTATTCAAGATATGTTAATGTGCTTAGTCACTGTGATTGCTTGAAAAATTACATTAACATTACCTTAATGATTCTTACCGTAGCTTTTTTCGTACATTGCTCACATTTGGTCGCCAGGTACATACCAGCATTTCCACCTCTCTAGTCTGTTATTTCTAGCATGTTTTACCACGGTCAGTGCGCTGCTTTATTGCTTGCCACGGTCAAGGGTCAAATTAGTCAGATTTGGCGAGTGAGAAAAACCCAAGAAGGGTGGAAACCTTCCACCCACCTCTCTTCCATAGATATTATATTTTTTTAACGTATCAGAACATTTATACCGAAATTACATCGGCCATAGTTTTAGATACTCTAGCTAGAAATCAACTAGAAATCAACTAGAAATCAACTAAAAATCAACTAGAAATCAACTAGCAAGCAATAGAACATTTTAGAACATAGATAGTGACACTTAAAAATCGTAGATCACTTAGAAGAAACATAGTCAAATATGCAATTACAAAGTAAACGCTTAGAATTTTTCTGGCACTATCGAGTGGTCCTTCGAATACAGTCTATAGTTTTTCGTTAGCACAAGCGTGCAAGGCATCTACTAGGCACGAACACTTTCGAGGTAATCACAAGCAGTTAACAATTGCTTTCCACTCATTTTTCCGCATCTTCTTTGAAAAAAAAAATATTTTTATATACATATACATATACCTATTCATTTATTCAATTGATCAAGTTTTTGAAACAACTAATAGATGGATATTAAAATATAAAAGATGTAAATTGATCAATTAATTTGAAAATAATTTACTTTTCTTTTACAGATAACTTCTTCGATATTGGATAATCTTGACAAAATAGATATCCAACAAGTGATACAAAATTTGCAAAATTTAGCCGTTATTCCGTGCCACTTAATATTAAATTCCATTCCGGCTGACGAAGAGATCACGTAAGTTATACTAATTTGTTACTAATTTATAAATGTAGTCCTATAAATAGTAGCACAGCTGTCAAGCAACTCCAACTTACGGTGTGTCGTTGAGTAAAATCCACCGGTTGAGACTTTCACCTAAATAAGAATTAGATTAATAATAATGTATGAAAATATGGGAAGTATAATGTCAGAAATTACAACTAGACTGAATAATCATTGAATGATACGGTATCCTATAATAGAAAAAGACTGAGCTTATCAATTATGCCCCGTGATAATTATGAAGTAAAGAATTGGCGTTGTTCAACAATTACTGGAACATGTTGAATTATATTAAGATATTGCAAAAGGTCTAGCCGAATAAGGTAGTCAAATGTGCTCTTAAGTCAAATAAAATATCCAATACGTCAATCGACAGTATTATATATCTAAAAAAAATATATCATACCAAGTTTCAACCCCTTCATCCGCAGGGGTAATAAAAGGGAAAAAACGAACTTCCAGTTTCTGGCCTATTTTACCTATTTAATTTCGTACAAAAATTCTGAGAAAATTCTAAAACATTGAGGTACACATATCGCATATTAGAGAATTTTTTCAGATTCTTTGATCGCAAATTGTAGTTGTAAAAAATCAAAAACCGAAAAAAAATCGGAAAAGTAGTGAGGTAGTTACATATTGGCATGCTTATTATTCCCTAATTTTTTTCAGATTTTTCGGTGTGGTACGCCGTAGTTTAAAAAATCAAATACCCATATACAGTAAAGACTGGATAACTGCAACGTTACTATCCCCACCACTGTAGGAAGTTCCCCCTTGAATCTTGACACTTGACAAGCGAGCAGCGTATCTAATGTAATCCGAATCGGCGTATCGATGTGACAACACTAATGCAACAGTAAAACTTTTTTATTTTTTGGTTTTGCTAAATATTATTTTTACCAATGTAATTGTGAGATTCTTCTGATCAAAATAAGACCAAACACGGCATAATTTGAACAACATTTGTTTATGTAGTAATATTGTTTGTTTTTTCGAGTGTATTGAGGTGCGATTTTATATGGAACCAAAAGACCATTCTCCATCGGACCACTCGACGGACTTTTCAAAAAATTTAATTTTAAATAGCCTCTCTCGTTCGCACTTTGTCCTTTCCTACGTTTAGCGGTCGGCGCGGGCCAAATGTAAACAAAGAATCGACACCTCGACCCGATAACTGCAACGCTTAGGTCCCAATTTTGTTGCAGTTATAGATATGAAAAAAAAAAAAAAATATATATGCTGATCGAATTGAGTCACCTCCTCCTTTTTCGAAGTCGGTTAAAAAAGAGAGAGTTATAATTAACAATTTCTTTAGCAAATATAAAGATATATGTACGACTGAATTCTATAAGCAAGATGGAGTACACTAGACCTGTTGATATCGCAAATCGTAAGACGGTAGCTAACTACATCAGTTACGCGGTTTTATAATGACGTACGCAACGCAAGAAATTAACGCAATTTTATAATAGATCTAGATCCTAACAAAACTGACAGAACAATATTTGGTTAATCACAAAAACTCTAAAATTTGTATTGGACGTGGAACAGTTACTTCTTGTTTGACTCTAAACTAATTAGTTTCATGGCCCTTTTTGTCGGAGCACAAATCGGCACCCAAAACTTGATCGCTTAATTGGGGAGCCTGCGTTAACATACCTGGCTACTAGAACTACCCAACGATGCAAGAATGAAATGACCGACGTGTGACCAACAGGGTTGCAAATTAAAATGGCTCGACTTTATGTATTTATTAAAGTTATCGAAACACCACCCAAAAGACATGGGCTTCAGAGACCAAGCCGCTCCATATGTAATGGGGAGCCTGCGTTAGCTGGCTACTAAACTACTCAGAGCGAACTCCGAGAATCTGACGGCGAGTTAGTAACTCAGCAAAAATAAGAAATATATGTAAGTGACTGAAGAGCTCTTGTTTGATGTCTTAGTTCTTTCTGGGGCTGAGCATAGCACTCTCCTTTCGGAGTTTCAGAGACAAGACCGTTTGAACGGGGAGCCTGCGTTAGCTGGCTACTAGAACTACCCAACGATTGAATATCCAAATGGCTGATACCTGCTGTCCAGTCAAAACTAAGAATCTTGTAGGCTCTTACCAGTTAAAACTGCTCCAGTTCGTCGCTTCCTAAGAGGTCCGGGCACGTACTACTTCAAAGATTGTTCTGCTCTCGCAGCCTCTGCTGCGCGCCCTTTTATACCCAGAAAATCATGGGTTTTTCCCACTCAAAATGTATTATTATGTTATTACGCTTTATTTTGTAGCAAATATACATTAGTTCGATTAATAAAAATACGCTTGGATTTATTATTAATTAGTTTTTCAGAGGTTTTTCTGTTAAATCGGAGTTTTAATGATTTTTAGATACGCGAATTATGAGTGCTTCATTAGAAGAAATAATTAATTACAAATTATACATCAAATAATAACTAAAAATATAATGCAATTTATAATGAGTTAATAATTAATAATATATATATGTGGGATTGGTTTATTCGGTGTTCATCGAATACGATCGGGCGCGAACGGGCGAGCGGGAAACGTGGACGATTGGCGCCAAGATAGTTCGGCCGTATTACATGTTGGCGCGAAAATTAGCGAGGGAACGAAGAATTGGCCTGCATTTGTTTCGTTTTACGCGGGAACCAGGGGAGAACGCGGAAAAGGGCGTAGCGTCGGGATCAATCTCGTTGTAACGTTGAAAGTAGGAAGTCGTCCGAAAAAGTTGTATCAGTGTCCGTATTTGATTTTTATATTTCGTTGATTATTATACTCTTGTTAAATTATTAAAATTATTATTCTGTTATTATTATTCCAAAAAAAAAAAAAAAAAACTAGTAATCCGTCAACCTCGATTATTTCCGATCCTACATATAATATAAATATTTAAATGATAATTTATAATAACTTGATTTCGAAGTATATCTGCCGTCTCTTTCTAACTAACGCGCGTGCCATCGATCGGTGATCTACTCTAACAATGTTGCACGCGTAATCTACCCTATACCATTACCGCGCGAATTTTTATGATGCAGTCGGTAATAGAATAAAAAGGATTTACGGATTAGAATGTTCCTTATTTATCAACAGAGTTGATTGGATGTTCCCGGGGACGTTACACAAATGTAAATACAAAATCGACACCTCGACACTGCAACTCTTGGGTCCCGATTTTGTTGCAGTTATCCAGTCTTTACTGTATTCCCTTAAAAATATACTTTCCGCTTCGAATTTGCCTGCTTTCTTTTCTCAGTACATTTATTAAGTGATTTTAAATAGAATCATATTCATCATTGATACAAATGATGTATTAGTTTAAGAAATAAAATTCATTTATTAACTAATTTTGCATCATAGTTGGTTATATTTTGAAACGTAAAACGTCATTCCACTGAAAGGATTGGCCAAGAGGTTAGGAGTCATTCCGCGTAATCTTTGCATGTTTTTTGGTCGCAGATTTGAGCACGCTGGACTTTGTTTTTTTCCATGTGTTGTTTTTCATTTTTTCTTTTGTAATAATGTAATAGATTCAAAGTGTTCTTGATTAATTGTTATATATTTCTGCATTTACATTGTACAAAATAATTATATTTTATTATATGTATTAAATCCTATTGTAGGTATCCTATTAAATACAGGTTCTTTGTACCCTGTGGATATATCTGTGGATATCTGTCTTTTTCTACTTAAACTATTACCATCTAACGTGATCAATTTAAAGTCACATATCAAATACTGCAAGGTAGTAATTTGCAACAAAATTTTTCACACGATACGAATGTTTAACTTGCAGATTTACCGTTGACAAAGGCCTCGTTGACGCCATTAAGAAACATTACACTATACAGATTCCACCATCACCCAAACTTATTCTACAACGAACTGACGCACTGCCCAGTGATTATGAGCCAGAACCGCTGACTGAGGAGCTTAATATTTCAAGTAATATTTCAAATAATACTAATTCTTCTGTTACAACGGGGACATTCTTCCAAAATAGCAGAACTATTTTCAACTGTGGGCGTCGTAAAAACTTGAATTTGTTCTTTATTTCTAAAATTATTAAATTGAAAAACAGTCAGTTATAAATAATTATTAACTTTCTGGAAAACATTTTTCATCTACCTTTTCTAATATATCTTATCTACAAACAAATGAAAATTGTTCTAAACCAATTAACAAATTAGAATCGTCATTCTACATTTTATAGCAAAAAATGCATAATGAATAACGAAAAAATTAACTGATGATCCAGGAGCAGTTCAAAATTATTTTTTTTTTCAGTTATTTCTTATCTTTCGAATTTGTATTTCTTTCACTTCTTTTGATAATGAAAAATTTCATATTTTACAGTACTTAAGCGTAAATCACCTGCTACAACAAAATCCACGTCAGTAATATCGGCGGCGCCTAAGAAAAGTGATAATCTTCCTGCTGTAGGTATGCAAATATTCTAAGAGAACCATTGCTGTTCACATAACTTGAAAAAATGTTAAAATAGGATTAATGGTATTGGAATGCCTCATCAGTCATGCTTCTTTGTTTCCAGGATCCTCGGAGATGATTCGCGTTACTCATGTAGTGGATCCATCTTGCTTTTTTGTTCAAATGATACAAAATCAAAACAAAATAACAGAAATGGAGAAGGGATTATCTGTATTAGCCAACACTTCAGGGGTTATACCAACGGAAGTTACCATAAGTATGACATAATGATATAGAAGTTGTATATTTTGTAACAATTCAAATTGAAAATAATTGTTAAATGAAAAATTGATTGATGTGAACCTTTCAATTATGAACGTTTAGTTGTCTTTCACAGTTCCTGAATTTTTTACGTTTGTTCCTAGATGCATTGTATATTGTGCAATGTTTCGAGGACAAAGATTGGCATAGGGCACGTATCATTGACAAGAAAAGGACCTCCACCGACGATGAAAAGTATAGCGTGATCTTTATTGATTATGGGATGACAGAAGATAATGTTCCATTGGCGAAGATACGAAATATCGTACCTCAATTTGCTATGTTACCGATGATGGCAGTTAGATGTACTTTGCACGACGTCGTACCGAACAATGGCGAATGGCATCCCGATGCCATTCAAGCTTTCAAAAAGATGGTTTATTCGTAAGTAATATTAATAAATCGCAAGTTCTTTTTTCAAACTATATTTCTACTTATTTTAAAATATGGTTAATTTTACGGGTAAGAGAAAAATCACTTATTGAATAAAGATACTCTTGATTTTTTACACTGAATTTTTATACTAAATATAAAAATGTAAAAAAAAATTTATCAAAAATTCTTCAAACACACCTCAGCAGAAATGGAAAATATTTAAAAAGTATTTGGGAATGGGACATTTTAAAGTCGAGAATGAAATATTGCATGCAAACATTAGAAAATATCAGAAATATTTTCTTTTCCTTTTTTTTTAATATTGTATTGTAATATTTAATTATAAAAACTATTATAAAGAATAAATTCATATAAAAGAAATGCAGCTCTATTAAACAAGTGAAATGTAAATTTACTGTCCCTTTTTAATGGTACTGTATAGTTTTCGTACGTAATTGATTCTTCGGAATATTCTATATGTATAAAGAAGTATTATTGCAGTGAAGAAAATACAATGTAAGAAAACTTAAAATTAAAGATAATTTTAACAGTTATTCTCTAGAAAACTGTAAAAGATACAAAAGAAACGTTGATATCTATCTACTTCGTGTTCTATTATTTGGAATTGGTAGATATTAACCCTTTGCGGACGAGTGTCGGCATATAGCCGTCCAAGCCTTTTTACCGTTCCAGACGCATATCGGCATATAGCCGCCCAACATTTTCGGGATTCTGAACCTAAGAATCCTTCGACTTCTGAAACAGCAGAAAGGCTGAACGGTCTTTTACATATTATTCGGCGAGATAATACAGGAAGGAGTAAAGACTGTCTAGTGTGTTCTAATCGAAATGTAAATCATGGAAGAAGAGAGTCGAGGTATTATGTTATTGTGCAACTTGTACGGCCTTGCACATACACTACCGTCCATAAGTATCCGGACACAAGCGAAATATGCATTCGCGTTGCATGAAAGTTATTCAAGTGTCTGCAACAGTAACTAAAATCGATTTTTTTTCTGCGAAGGTCAGAATATTGGAGCGTTTTTCGATTGATAATTCTCGTTTAGAACTCATATCTCGATGGAAAAGAAGCTACAGACAAACTAAACCGAAACTGTCGAGTGCGTAGCGTTGCCTCCATTTTTATCTCCATTGAAGGAACCTAAACATCTACTAACAGTTTACAAACACTTGAAACATATCGAAGAACTCTCTGAATACGTTCTGCACCATAGAAATGAAACACAGTAGAAATTAAAATTTTTTTCAAAATCGAAAGCGTTTCATTAGCTTTACAAGTTTGGATTTTGTACTTCTGGACATGAATTTTACTTTTACACTTCCATTGTATAATTTGTACTTAAAAATTAATTTTATTACGTTATGACACCTCAAAAAAGATAATAATAATTATTACAAATGATATGATAACCCTAAATACCTTTCGTACAAAATTCAACTATGTTTTATGTAACGAAACCAAGTGTCCGGAGACTTATGGACGGTAATGTAGGTGACTGTTTTGAACGATACCACACAATGCCGAAATATAAAACGCATACGCAAACACAACCAAACTTCTTTTGTTGTTTTTTTTTCAATTTGTTTGTTTATAACTTTTTTTGAATTTTATGAACAATTTTTTGAAACGTTCAACATATTTATTTTCCTTACTGCGCACTCCAATACCTCTCGTCCACAACGACAAAGGTTCTCGTCCGCAAAGGGTTAAAGAGGTTGTAAAATGGCAGTGTAGCAACTTAAACGGAAATGCCTCGTGCTTGATATAAACTTTTAAGTGGAAGAATTGCAGTAAGAATTGCTATATGAATTGCAATTGTGATGTAAAATGAAAAAAGTTTTTAATCTATATGTCAAAGTTGTTACAGAAGTACACGTGGATTTAATCTGGAAATAGTGAACATGTAAGAAGAGATTCATTTTTAACTTTAAAAGTACCAAAGTAGCTTATAAAATGACTTATTAAAAAAAGATTCTAAGTTCCTTAAGCGATATTTCGCATCCTTTTCTACATCATTAAACTCTTAATTACAGACAAAAATTCACATAATAAATAAACTTTATAAAACCACATACCTTATCTTTTTATATTTTCCTAGAAAGATACTTATAATTTTAAAAACTGCAAAGTGGCGCTATTCTGTGACAGATTACATTTTTCATTGTTAGTTAAGTCATTTGTACAATTACGAATATACTCCTGTGGATAAATGAATCTCAATTCTGATAGTATGAGATTAATCTTAATCAAATATACGTATACAGGGTGAAACAACAAATATTCGTAAGCTCTAGGGTAAATGTTATTTTGTAAATGATGAGAAAATCTAATAAGGGTTCACTAGAAAAGTAATAATTCCAAAGTTGTAAACAACGTCTAATGTCGCTTAACACGTTCACGCCGGCGTGACCCACCGGTGGGTCACACTTAATTGTCCCGTGGGGCGACGTGCATCACAGGTGGGTTTTCAAAAAATAAGTTTATTTTATTTTTTGTCAACATTATAAACAAAAATTGAGTATTATAAGCATTAACATTCAATATTTTAAATTGATAACAATTATTTATTTATAAGCATGCAACTTTTTAAAACATTCTAAACATAATACGAGCTGGCCCTTACAACTTTTACAATATGTTCTTACTTTTTCACTTTTTTTCGCGGCGTATAATCTACCTTGTATTTTCTATAATTGTTTGTAACATTCTTTACATCGTTTTCTTGTTTTTTTGGCAGCCCCTTTGAACGATTTCGATTGTAGAAAATGTGTGTGTTTTCTTGACCGTTTTTTCTTTTCTATTTCACATTCTTTGATTTCTCTGTGAAAAATTCAAAAAGGAAAAGTGCTAACTGTCCCTGTAGAAGAAAAGATAATTTTATCTACCTTTACACTTGATGCAAGAAATGTGCGTTCTGAAAATCAATGTCAAAACTGTTTTGATTTCGTATTTAGCGCGTTCGAAGCTTCGAAGGAGCAACAATGTCGCGCCGCCCCACGAAGCGAAACGTAAATATTTGCCGCGGTGCACAGTGGTCCAAATCGAGAAATTCAGTGACATTTCATGAAAAAATCAACTTTCTAATATGAATACCTACCTAGTACACATTGATTCCTAAATGTCCACTGATGTCGAAAATGAAAAAATTGAAAAAATATAGTACTACTTTTGAATAATATGAGCATTCAAAGTTGGATATTTTCAAAGTACAACTGTTCGCCCGAAAAATCGGGTTTTTCTGTTGAAGATTTTTTCAGGGCTTACTTTAATAATTTGCTTTCATTTTTTTTTTCTTAATAAAGAGCATTCTTTCTAAATTAGAAATATGCTCTTCGTTAATAGTTACTGTACGTAGTGTCTTTAGAACATAGCGTTAAATGAAACGAAGAAAATTCTTAAAACTCGTTACAATTAACAGGACATATCTTTCAAGTCCCAAGGAGTCCCAGTATGTAACAAATTGGAATCTTTTCAGTTGATTTTCTTCTTTATAATCATGTAAAAACTGTTTCTCCCCTCGTGTCACTGTTGAAATTATCACTATTTGAAGTTGTGCGTGGCATGTCATTTTACGCGTATGCGTTTACATCAGCTATGAAATCCCTGCATGGCAGTAAGTTCGTTCCTCGAACGAACTGTTTAGATGAACACACTTAAGATGTTTGTACTATGACTCTGAGAAGACTTCGACTGAATATTCATGGTGTCAGGAGCTGCATCAGCGAAATATTCAGAGAGAAATTTCCGAGCAATAATTAACCGTGGCTATTAATTCTATATTTTATATTGTGTTTTTTGTGTATTTTATATTGTACTTTTTGTGTATTTTATATTGTGTTTTTTGTGTATTTTATATTGTTTGCCAAATTTTATTTTATTATATATACAGGGTGTTCGGCTACTGGTGGGCATAATTTTAGGGAGTGGTAGCTGGAATAATTCTGAACAACTTTTTCTTTTACCAAAATGCTGGTTAAAGCTGTATCTATTACACTTTATTTTACTTTTTGCTGGTAAGTACAAAAATATTTAAAGAGAGATTATACAAATTTTTTTATAATTTTTCAATTTTTTTCAAATTGATTTTTTTTCACTCATTTAGGAAAAATGCCAAACATTCATAAAAATATAGATTTATATTTCGTATTAAGAAATAGTAACAGAGATATGAATGATTACGAATTTTTATACAAAAAGATATGCGAATATAATAATACAATACAATACAATAATAATAATAGTAACAATAACAACAACAACAACAACAATTATGATACAGTTTTTTTTTACCTATTAATAGCCTAGTATCTCTACATTATCTGGTTCAAATTGTGTGATGATATCACGTACGGTTTAAAAGTTACATCAAAATGTCACTGAATTTCTCGATTTGGACCACTGTGCAGCGTGAACGTGTCAAAATAAGTAATTTTCTCATGTTGAGAGCTATCATGACTTATAGAAACAATAAATTATTTTTTTATAGATCCCAAAATGAGAAAAAATTTGTTTCACTTAAAAATAAACATTTCAATTTTTTGTTTTCCGACCCATATTTATTAAGACATTTTTTTCCCCATTTAATAAGTATTGTCTTCTCTAAATGTTACAGACTTATTTTAGCTTTACTTATATACATATAAACGTATTAAATTAATCAGCTGCTAGAAGTTATTATCATTTTTTATTGAAATTTGTCAACATAAAGCAAATATTATGTAACAAATAAAATTAATCAAATTTTAATGAATAATAAAAGTTTAAAAACTCCATGTATTGATATAATGAGTTATTAATAAGTAATAATAATTCATATAATAAAATTACAAAAGATACTGCGTATGTCATGTATTTTCTATTGATTTAATATTATCTGATAACATAATTAAAAGTGATAATAATTAAAAGTGATTTCTTATTTATTTCAGAAATGCCATGGTATCAATGTCCGTCGTTATGATAACTGGAGATACTTATTATGTTGATCTGTCTGTTATTTCCTCAAAGGACTGGTATTTAACATCCGTGAAAGATTCGTTAACTTACATGAAATATGCTACCTGCGTTTCACCAAACAAATTAATGGTAATTGTAGACTGCTTAAGATACCGACATTTTTGTCAAATTTCACCACTGATTTTCTACTTACAGAGAACAAATCCTGATTCTACGCGGACTTACTACTATAAAGAACAGTTGGAAATAGAAGTTTACACGGATGTTGAAGTTCTATTCGTCGAGTCTCCTAGTTGTATATACGTTAGAAAAGTGAGCTGTTATATATTTTTTCCAACAATATTTATATAATTAACAAATATATTAGAATCTTACAGGTGCACTAATATTCAAAAAGCTTCTATTATACTTTAAGGAGAAGCTTCTAATTTCAATTAATAAATGAAAGCATTTGCCAATTTATGTTAATTTATGTTTTTATGGTACAGGCACACGCAAATAGAACATACTTCTGCAAGTTGGTATCTGATATGACTGAAAACTATGGACAGACTTTATCCTGTAATGATTTTATACCTGTCCTTTGTAAAGGTAATATGTTTTTCACAACTTTCAAGGTTTTATGAATAGAGATTTCACAAAATATTAGGATATATTTTAGAACAAGCGAATAAATTAAGTACCCACCAATGAATTTATGAACATCGGTGTTCTAGTCTTCAAGACAAACTGAACATAGCCTTAGAGATCTCCATATTTTCAGATTTCCAAATTTTTAAACCAAAATTTTCAAATTACCATATTTCTAAATTTCTAAGTTTCCAAATTTATAGCGCTAATGCAGAAACTGAAGTCTGAAGTCTTTGTTCTTATCTGCATTGTTCAACAATTAAATTTAGATAATTAAATTGTTACTTAGATCTACCGTGTGCTGCACGAGGCGTAGATGGTATGTGGCATAGAGGTATCATAAACGAAGTCACTGAAAATACGATAAGAGTTTTCTACGTAGACTTAGGATATACGCTGACGTTAAGTTATGATTCTGTTAGAGCTCTTCCTAGAAGGTATATGAGCTGCAAAACTCAAGTAAGTTTAAATATTATAATTATCTAAGTTCTTCATGTCAGTATATTAATCAATATTTCAATATTTATGTTTGTTCTTATTGTATCTCATTGCGCCTTATACACGCATTAGGCAATAAAAATTTCACTGAAGAATTTAAAACCGAAGCTTGATGATAAAGAGCAATGGGGACCAGAGACCATTGAATTTCTAAAAAGATTTTTGATGGACATAAGAAATGTCAAGATTATAGCTTTTGATAAATCTGAAGATACATATAGTGTAGCTATGTACACATATGACAGAATCAATGTTACTACTGTATTAGTCAGTAATGATCTAGCTGTGCAAATTTATAGGTATACATTACATTTCAGTACGAAGTTTTTCAAATATTTTAATCAGTACAATCACTATATTAATTTGGATTAGTTAATTTATCTGTTTCTTATACACTATATTTTTCAATTATGAAAACTGAAACCACGGATACTATAATCAAGATTGATAATGTTTACAATAAATATTTTCTTTCCTACTGTTTGATATAGTTCTTACAACAAATCCAAGAAAAAGAGGAGTAAAGCCAAAAAGGAAATTATTAGGACTATAGAAAAACCTGAAAATCTTGTAGAAAAATCAGAAAAATGTAAGGATGTACCAAGTAAAAACATAAAAAACAGAAGTATGGATAACAATGAAGATCCTTTTAAAATAAGCGTCTTAATACACCAAGTACAATCACCAGATTGTATTTACGTGTCAAACGCTAAACATGATCAAAGCGACACAGAAAAAATGATGGCAGAAATGCAAGAATTTTATAGAAAATATCGATCTGCAAAACGTGACATCTGGAATAAAGATGCAGTTTGTGCAGTTTATTCATCGAAAAGTGAAATGTACTATCGTGGTCGAATTATTGAAATCAAATCTCCGGATAAAGTAACTGTGTTCTTATACGACATAGGAATCGAAGAAATTGTTACGATAAACGATCTACAATCACTGTATCCGGTATTCTTTGAAACTCCAACGTATGTTTTTAAAATAAAACTGAGCGGTATATTACCATGCGGAGGATCGACATTTTGGACGTCATTATCCTGTGAGAAATTGCAAGAAATTGTGAATAATAATCAAAATTGCAAATTTTACATATCAAAATTGGTAAGCGATTTACTACTACGTGGATATTTTAAGCATGACTACACTTCCCAATTTTCGAAATCCTACGTTTCGAATTTCTATATTTCAAAGCAGAGTTTACTAACAATATAAATAACGCCAATATAACGATAAGAGTTTACTGTAGATCAGACAGCTATATCAACAGAAAGATATTTACTTGGTCATATCCGTTTTACATTAATCTATCATTATCATGGCTATAATAGTAATCATATATTGAAGATAATATTACAATTTATAAACTATTTTCATTCAAAGCGTTGTTCTATTTTTATGTAGGAAGAAGAAGATATAGAAGACTCTGTGATACCAGTGGAACTTTGGATTAAACAGGTGAAAATGGATGGACCATTAGCACCAACAAGATATGAAATAAATTCCATTAATAGAATGTTAGTTGAAAACGGAGTTGCTTTACCAATAAAAGAGTATGTAGAAGTTAAAATTTACAGTATTTTAATTTTCTTTGAATTGGTTATTTTCATTGTAAACTTTTTTAATTAGGTATGCAAAAAAAAGGGATAAGATTTTAGCAATTGAATTGAAACGGATGTTGATGAAAAAATTAGAGAGATTAGCAAAATGCGAACCAAACGTGAAGTGGTTTGAAATTAATAACGATCTCAACGATTCTGTGGAAATAAACATTAATCGAGTCACGTCAGAGGCATCAAATCACTCAGATTCTGATTTAGACAATCAGGAACTTAACATAGAAGCATTTGACAACATTCCAATGCTTCCCAAATTGACGGATTGGTTACCAGCAAAACCAATATTGGAAGATTCATTTATTGCTATACCAACATATTTAGATAGTGAAGGCTTTTTATATTTACATTCTAAAGACCAAAGTATATATTTCTTATACAATTTGTTGACCTTGATATAATCTAATACAAAATATAATTTAACCAGTTAACTGTGGCGATCTTTTTGCAAAGCGCGCACCAGTGTGTGTCGCGATAATCAAGCGATAACGAGTTAGCTGTCAAGAATTTATGAATCCACCTCAAATCATTTACACTTTTTATTTGTTTATTTTATTTCGTGTTTACCTCTAAACATTTTAAACATATTACAATTTACGAATATAATTTAGTTTTCGCCAAAATTACAATTTAAATATCAAATTGTAATAAAATTTTACGCATGACGGATATATGGTTGATACAAAATGATACAAAATTCTGCCACAGCTCCATGACGGATATAGTCGTCAAACACACTTAACTGGTTCAAAACCTCACTCCCGAAAGATTTGCTTATATAGAATATCCACTGTACAAGTCGTTGAAAAATTGTAGAAAACCTAAAAAAAAGTATAAATACAAATTCCTTTAACTGTATGTTTTGTGTTAGATTGTGCATACTGCCACATTTATATTTTAAGATGGTCTCTTATAAACTGCAGAATTATTATATAATAATTATATAATAATAGTAATTATTATATAGTATTTCTTAATTAATGCTTCTATTCTCTTTCTTCAGATGCAGAAATATTGCGATATATAGAAAGAAAACTGGAAAAGTTGTATACTAATTGTCCAATTGAATCACATGATACTGTATGGGCTGCAGGAGATATGTGTATTGCACAGTATCATACAGACAAAAAATGGTACCGTGGGAAAGTAGTGAAAGTTGAAGAAAATGATATAATAGATGTAAAAATTTCATCAGTTCCTTTATTTCAAAAACTTATTTTCAGACCCTACAATTAACAAAGCGAAACATTTCTTGTAGGTTGAATTTGTAGATTATGGAAATATCGAAGAATGTTCAATTGGAACTTTGAAAAAAAGAGTTATTTTGGAAGATATTCCAATTCAGTGCACGAAATGTACAATCTATGGTCTAAATCCGGTAAGTATTTAAAATCAATTTTAGCATATTATTTAGCAAATGGTGCATTATTACATAAACTATACATAGCTTTATATCTTTAATAGATATTTATATTCATAATTCTAAATATATTTGAACTAATTTCATTTTCAATAGGCAACTTCAAGTGGAAAATGGATAACAGAAGACCTGGATAAGATACATGGGCTTTTAATTGAGAATGAATGTAAAGTAACTGTTATAGATAGAACTAAAATGCACCTTGTTGTAAGTAATCTCATATTCTACTAAACGAGAACGTCATCTGTTAATATAAATCAAGAACATAGATACCTAAGCATATACCTGTATACAGTAACATCTTCCACATTGTCCCTACTGATATGTCTATGCATATGTAATCCTTATTGCTGTGCCTATGCTATCTTCATCGAAGCCAGTCAGGCGTGCGGTGGATGTAATATGATATATTACGCGACTTTTTTGATAAGACTTTCTAGCTTAACAATTCAGAATATAATATTATAACTTTTTACTTTAATTTTTTCTAACACAAAGTATTTTTTATATATTCTGAGATTTTTCCAAATAAAATGATACCAAACATGATATAACTTGGGCAACATTTACTACATTTATTCAATACTTGGTTTATAAATCATTTAACACAAATAGTTTCCTACATTGTCCGTAAAGCATATACTGATTTTCACATTATCTATAAAATATAAGCCGATTCTCACTTTGTCCGTACAAGTTAGGCTGTATTATCACATTGTCCAAATACTATTTATATATTCAACGCATAATGTGTACAAATATTTCATATATTTTTACAGCAATCTGTTTTAATAATTAATTTAAAACGATTATTGACATGTAATGAGTTACAGACTCATTAAATAGTTAAAAATAAAAAATTATTGGAAAGTTTATGTAACATTTGATACGCTGAGAAATTCCATGATTACCTTAACTATCTTTCCGTCCTATCCTTATACTTTCTGCCCATTTCTTTATTTGATAAACATCAGACATATTGCGAGACTCAAATTACGATTATAATATTCCCGAACATTATACTATTTTTATTCCGAACAAAGGGATAATGCGACAGATATTACTGTATGTATAAATACCGGGATGCAAAGATACAATATACATGTAAGATGTAGAAATATAGGAATAAAAATATATTACATTTTTCTTGTAGCGTATATTAATAATATGTAGCACAGAAAGAGGAAATTATTATTTCACATGTGAAATCTTGCATTTGAATAAATAAGAAATAGGTCAATAATTATTATTTTATTAACAAAAACATGACATTTCATACATGTATTCTATATTGTTGTCCTTTATTTATTATTCTAATAATATACGATAATTTTGCTTTACTGGCACTTTTTAACCTTATAATATAACAGCAAGTATAAAAAATTGCATACTATACTTCACATATTATAATATTATCCTAACTATACGAAAACAGTAGTATAAGTTATACTTGTTCATGCACGAGAGACATATGATCATTAAAAAATGTGTATTATGCTAACAAGGAAAGGCACGCAAGTGTCCCCCTCCGATTTTGATGAAACTTCGTAGGTTTGTTAAGCAGGCAAAAATAAGGGACACGTATTTTTTTTTATCGGCTGAGACGCGGGTTTAAGGGGTGAAACGAGCCCTTAAAGTTTCGACCCCTTTTGGCTATCTCGAAAACCATACGAGATACATTAAAACTTCTAATAGAAAAGTTGTATGGTTTCTTGCGTATAATAACAGGATGTTAACCAATTTTGCAAAATACAATTTGTTTATAACAAAAAAATTTTTCATAACCTTATTTTACAATTTATTCAAATTTGTATAATGACAAAAAGTGTAGAGAATTTTATTACAAATCCATTGGTATATATATATACAATATTACCTCCTACAATTTCTCAGATTTTTATCATAAAGGTGCGCGCGCGCCCGCTGACGCTCCACACTATACTAAATCGGATGAAGTCGGACGATATTACACTGTCAGTCAACATTATTTATAAGCATAAATGAGAAACAATTACATTTGCGTTATAATTAACATTTATCGTTAAAGTACAGAGGTATTCTGTATCTTAATTTCATTAGAAATGATTCAAACGGTTTTCGATGCACCATGCACATGAAATAATTGCTGCGTCACTACATATGTAGCATAGTGGTTCATTATGTGATGCATAGCAAAAT